AGCTTCCAAAGGTGATTAAACAGAAATTTTACAGATACAGATATTTTTGAGTTTAAGGGAGAAAAAAATCATAATCCAATTTTCGAGCCTGAGATCCATTCGCGGTTTCTTATGTTGGATCAAAATACTCTTAAATCCTGAGAGTTTGATGCCCCTCTGTATGCTTGAGACAAATTTTCAGAAGCTTTCAAAGGTGATTTGATAGAACTTTTTCATGATTTTTTTGCATCTAAGTGAGAAAAAAATCATAATTTCATTTCTGAGTCTGAGATCCACTCACGGTTTATTTTGTTTGATAAGAAAATACCCCACTCATCAAATTCTGAAAGTTTGAAGTCCCTCTGATTTCTTGGAGTATTTTTCAGAAGCCTCCAAAGGTGGATTTAATAAAAATTTAATTTGCATGATTTTTTTACATCTAAGTGAGAAAATATTTATAATTCCATTTCTGAGCCTGAGATCCACTCGCGGTTTGTTTTGTTTGATAAAAAAAGACCCTTTTAATAAATTCTGCAAATTTGGAATGCCTCTGATTGTTTCAAGTATTTTTCAGAAGCTTCCAAATGTGATTTAATATACATTTTAGATATTGTCAACCCTACATGGGACCACGGGCTTCAACCAAATTAAATACACTGACCCACGGGTTAAAACAAATAACTGAAACTAAGCAAGAAAACACAATCAGATTGATATACCTAATTATAGTCAGCAAATATTATTGGATATAAAAGTCACGGGTCACACTATGGTAAATTGGTCGTGTCTCAGCGCTTTTCTGTATCAGTAGGTGTTTAGACACTCCTCAAGGTCGGGAGCTGTCTGGATGAATAGAGATTGCGTATCGTATCTTTGTCCTAGAAGATTTCATCTGACGACCCAGACTCTGCTCTGCAGTACAGGCTTCCTAACTTCTATTATAGTGTTGATTTGGTTTCTTAACTGCTGACCATAGAGGTCAAGCTTGAGCTTATACCCGATGGATTCGCTCAGGTGCCTTTAGACCCTTTTCAGCTCGAAGGGACGTGCTAGCTCGGGATGATAGCAATTTGGTAATACTTGTGTGCTTTACTCTAAAGTCTAAATGTAATCTCTGCCCTATAACATTAAATATATTCTATTTATCTAAAATTATTCTGGTGTTCCCTTTCCGTTCTGCTTTTCAGGGTGAATAGTCGAGCTACATAGCAGATCGAAATGGGCTTCGTGACAATATTTTTGCATTTAAGTGAGAAAAAAATCATAATTCCATTTCTGGGCCTGAGATCCACTCGCGGTTTGTTTTGTTTAATAAAAAAAAACCAACTCGATAAATCCTGAAAGTTTGGAGTCCCTCTGATTGCTAGAAGTATTTATTTATTTTTTTTTGGCTAGTCGATTGTATTCTCTCCAGCAAATCGGAAACATAATAATGCTGTTTCGAAGGTCTTTGAAATCTTTTTGGTTTCGGTTCTTACAGCCCTTCGTCTTTCATTTGTTCCTAGGAGTAGCATTTGAAGCTTCTAAGTAGTAACACAGTTGTAGTGCTATAGTAGACGCGGGAGCCCAAAATAACGTCACACCAGTAAAACTATTAACAGGAAAAATACAGACAGACAATAACACGATATTAGTCACCGCAAGGGGACATCGAATACCAGTGTTGGGAAAAATGACAACACCAATGGAAATGGCAGGAAGCTTAAAGTGGAAAGGTATACTAAAAGCAAAAGTCATCTCACCATCAGGGTAACTGATGTCCTGGGAATGGAATTTTTGCCATCCTAGACCTGCTAAGTAAACTACTTATATTGGATAATAAATATAGAATACCTCTATGCCAGGATTATAAGCAGAAGATTAGCTTGTCAAGCCTCATTACCGCTAAAAAATCAAGCACGGAACCTAGCAACTCTCAAAAAGATGAAGAATAATTCAACTCAACAAGTTTATCAAGGACCACATACACATAAGAAAGACAGAGACAAGCAGATTACTGAGGAAAGAACATCGAGACATAATTCACCTACCAAATAACGCGGTTTTGGTATCTGGAGTAACCCAGAACTATTGAGAGAGAACCAGGAACCATTGGACAATCAAAAGAGTAAACTACGGGAAAAAAACGAGAATTTTTCTATTCACGAGAGAAACGATGAAAAACAAGCCTATCCCAAGAAACATGTACAGATGCCTGATAGCACTGAAAAATACTAGCAAATCTAGGTCCCATACAACATTGGTCATTCCAAGACAAGGATGGGGAATGGCAAAGCCCCCTACAGTAATAAGCCATGAAGTAAAAATGGCAACACCGCATTTGTATTCTTGAATGGGTCTGTCGGTCTGCCTTTGAAAGCAGCTTTTTTAGGTTAGATGATTGATTTGATTTTATATTTTTTCAAAAATATGATATTGTAATTTGTTTCGAGATTTGTTTGGGAAAAAGAATGAACTGGATAAATAAAACACCAACACATACTTATAACTACTCAGTTAAGAGACATTTTGGAGTTTGGACTCAATATTTTTCTTGCCTAGATTTTCAAAATTGGTAATTGAATAGTTCTGCAATTTTCCTGTTTCAAAATTTCCTGTAGTTCCTGTCTTCTGTCTTCTGGGGATCTTTTCGTTTAGTCACTGAATGTCTTGTTAGATAGGTATTCTGGTTAATTTTCAAATGTAATATGAGGAATTGGGAATTGCCCCCTTCATTAGTTTACGTTGCATCAGAGGGTGCGAACACCAAATTCCTTCTTTGTTTTTGTAATGCCAGTTTTCGCATTTCTGTAGTATCAAAATCTTTACAGCACACAACTGAACTCTTTGTAATTTGGAAGTTTTCTTTATGAATCGCTGGTAACCATAATTTGCAAAGTTCACTTGTAACCTCGAACACAGCATAATCGGGGCATCTATAATAAATAAAAAATTTGCATAATGTAATATTTTGATATAAAAATGATGAATTTCTTACCTTTACTAAAGACAAAAACAAAGTGTTCGTCGGCGCCCTGTGGGAACAATTTGAGTAAACAAACCAAAACATGATTAAAAGGTACCTAGCTGTTAAAATTTTGATAAAAAAGTGCACAGGGCACAATTATTGATCTTTTGAACTATTACAGATGAATCGAAGGCGCTATAATAATAACAAATAAATAAAATAAATATAATAAATACATCCAAAACCCAACCTCAATCGAAAACATAGGACCCACACGACATGTTGCCAGATTTCTTACTTCATGGCTTATTACTGTAGGGGGCTTTGGGAATGGGGAAGATTTAAACAAATGCTGTATCATGTTTACAAAGACTCAGGAATCAGAATCCGCATATACAAAAATAGGCAGCAAAACAACAAAAGACCGGAAAAAATTCCGGAGAGGAAATTGGTCAGCTTATGCACCTACACCCGAACAAAAACGCATAAAATAGGAACCAAGAGAGATTATACACCATAGCCGAGGACTAAATAGAAACAATCGGATTAGAAATCATGGGCAAAATGAATGACATAAATGAAACAATAGGCTACCAATGCAAATACAAATTAGACTGGTTCGCAAAAAACAACCTAGTATTAAAAACACATGTCTACACAGATGGGGACTCCCTCGTCCTGAAAATACATGGAATCCAGCAACCATATACGCAGGAACCACGTAATGTATCTCCCAGACCTAACTTGAATACAAAAACTATTCTGGACTGTGCTTTAGGGTCAACACTATCATTCTCAAACCTCAAAAAATCTCTACAAAGAATCAATAATTTTTCACGAATTTTCCAACAAATTATCGACTTCCCCCCGTAATGAGTCTCCCAGACCTAACTTGAAAGCAAAAACTATTCTGGACTGTGCTAAGGGTCAACTCTATCATTCTCAAACTTCAAAAAATCTCTACAAAGCATAATTAATTTTTCACGAATTTTTCAGCAAGTTATCGACTTCCCCCCGTAATGAATCTCCCACACCTAACTTGAATGCAAAAACTGTACTGGACTGTGCTTTAGGGTCAACTCAATCATTCCCAAACTTCAAAAAATCCCAACAAGCATCATTAATTTTCCACGAATTTTCCAACAAATTATCGACTTCCCCCCGTAATGAGTCTCCCAGACCTAACTTGAATGCAAAAACTATTCTGGACTGGGCTTTAGGGTCAACTCTATCATTCTCAAATTTCAGAAAATCCCTACAAAGAATCATTAATTATTCACGAATTTTCCAAAAAATTATCGACATCCCCCCGTAATGAATCTACCAGACCTAACTTGAATGCAAAAACTATTCTGGACTGTGCTTTAGGGTCAACTCTATCATTCGCAAACTTCAGAAAATCCCTACAAAGTATCATTCATTTTTCACGAATTTTCCAACAAATTATCGACTTCTCCCCGTAATGACTTTCCCAGACCTTACTTGAATGCAAAAACTATTCTGGACTGTGATTAGGGGTCAACTCTATCATTCTCAAACGTTGAAAAATCCCTACAAAGCATCATTTATTTTTCACGAATTTTCCAACAAATTATCGACTTTTCCCCGTAGTGACTCTCCCAGACCTAACTTGACTGTAAAAACTCTTCTGAACTGTACTTAAGAGTCAACTCTATGATCCTCAAATTTCAAAAAATCCCCACAAGGCATCATTAATTCTTTACAAATTTTCAAACAAAATATCGTTTTTACCCCGTAGTGACTTTCCTAGACCTAACTTAACTGGAGAAAATATCCTCGAATGTGCCTGATGGTTATTTTTACCTTTTCCGAATTTAAGAAATCCCCTACATAATGTAATAATTGTATTTGATTGAATTTTGTGGTTTTTTAATTTTTCTTTTCAATAATTATCTGGTCGTCTGTAAATATACACGAATTTGAATATGAATATGGAGCTAACTTCAGCTACGTGACAAATGATCAGTCCTCACCTACGTCCCTTATATGATAACTGCGGGATTAAGCACGGGTGTCAGGATATTGGGCCTAGATCTTTGAAACAACCCAGCTACCTAATAGTATTTTTATTTTATAGTTAAAACAGACTTCTTTCATGTTATTTTTACAGTTAAATGATGAGCTTGGAACAACTACGTTTTGAATTGAGATCGCATTCAGCCCAACAAGAAGGAAGCATTCCTAGTTTATTCTCATACGAAAAACGATTGTATTTATTAAATGTTAAATATAAGTTTTATTTAAATAAATCTAATATTTTTTAATCTGAATAATAAAAGTGCGTATCTGTCCTGGAGATAGGCTGACATTCAATGAATCATCATCAAATGCATTTATCACTGTGTGTCTTTTGATGCTGTTTCGAAGCAAGTGTGTCTCAGTCTCATAGTCTGTCACTATATTGTAGTCTTGGTACAATAAATCTTCTACGGTGCCATTTGTATTAAAATGCAACCTGTGGTTGTCTTTGAGCCATTGGTTGCCTCCCAAAGTGGTTTCTTGAGCTGAGATTATTTCAAACGATGTAAAAAGATCCTAAAATAATTATCTTATAATAATTTTCTTAATAATTTGATGATAATTACTAACAGCTAAAGCTACCACTACAGGTTGAGATTGGTCGCTTTTCTCAAAAACATGCTCAAGCCTCAGTAGAAAATCAAAACCGGTCCATGGTTCCAATGTCAAGATTTGGACGCTTTTTGGAAGTGGGCGCTTGAGACCTGCAAACTTTAATAAAACCTATGTATCACACCGATTTGAAAAAGGACTCAAATCTACCTCCATATTATACTTGACTTTTTCGTCAACAGGAACAACAAAAGTCCAAGTATCTAGTAATCTTCGTTGAACAATATCTTTTGTTAATGCTGCCAGTCCATTATTACCCACAGTAATGTAATGAGAACCTCTAACAACCAATCCACGTCCGAAAGCAGTCTCGTTCAAAGCCTCTCCAACGCCAAAAGAGTCATCGTGCAAGCAATTTCTGTGAAGCATAAGTTCGATTTCGCCATCCTTAAGGCTGGTGCCTCCTTGGGCTCTGTCAACCAAAACTGCCAATCCGTTTTCGGTGTCTTTGATAGAAATTTGCGTTGTAACTGGGTAGTAATTTCCTGCTACTGGTTCAGATAAGTTCACTTTCCAAGAAGGCCGGAAATTTCTGACTCGTTTGAGCATTTGCTTGCCATTGGAGTCGGTGTAGAAAACTGAATTCGATTTGAGGTCCGATTGGTATTTTGTTACCACTTCAATGCCATTCCTGTCGCTGTGGGGCAAAGGTCCAATTATCCAATCGAATTCAACGTAATCATCTATGGCGTTAACTCTAATAATTTGACTTATGTATTCGTTGAAAGTTTGATGGATTTCTGCTACAAGTTCTCCTTCGTATACTTTATAGTCCACTTTTTTATTTGTTATTTTTTGTAGAGGGCCATCAGGCCTGAAGATGTAGGCCCCAGAGGAACGATTTTCGAATTTACTGTTGTCGCCAACAAAGCCATTGTAATAGAAGAAGTTTTGGCTAAGGTCTATTGATACGTTTTTGATTGTGAGGCTATTTATAAGGCCCGTATTTGGGTCTATAATAAAGGCAGTGTTCTGAAATAATAAAAAGTTATTCACAGTTAATATTTCATAGTTGTTTTACCTTGACACTGTGTTTATTGCCTTTTTTAGATACAATAATGTTCTTATTAGTTTTCCTATAAACCATTACTCTATAAGATTTCCAGCCTAAAGCTGGAATGCCCCTTGCAATAAAAATCAGTTCGTTCTTTGCCTGACTACTTCTTCCAGGTATGTTTTTGATAAAATCAGGAATTGGAATTATTTGGGTTTTGTATTCAGTCCCTTGCAAATCATTGACCGAATACGAGTCTTCTTTGACAGGTAATCGGACTACTTTGTCCACAGGCCTACTAAGCGGATTATAAATGGTTACAACAAATCCATCGTTTGTAGTTGTCGTTGTGCATTGGCTAACATTTAACAGAGGACACGTCTTAAGTTCAATATTAACCTCAAGCAGTTTTCTTATTGCTGCATTGGTGATTATCTCACATTCATCCATGCCTCGTTGCAATTGCCTGGCATAATCACTAGCCACATGCTGTTTTTCAGTTCCTGTAATGGCATCGTGATGCTGCATCACCCCCATGGCTTCCCTCAATGCATTCAAGTCCACCATATCCTCTGGACCAAGATCAGCTAAGGCATAGAGCTGCTTGCAAACCTACAAACCACTTTTGGTGCAACAAGAAATTGAATTGTGGACATTTATTACTTGCAAAAAATTGTTTCCCAGTCGTTCAAATCGTTTTATGGCAGGCCTGGATGTAAAATATCCTGTCCAGAAAGCGTGAGGATCGGAAGCGTAAGGGAAAAAGTCGTCCTGCTTCATAATCCAGTTGTTTTTAGTCTCATCGTGGATGGCGTTAACGTAGCAGGACGGTGTTGAGTAAATTAGATTGTATTTTGAACCAGATAATTGAAGTTGATTCACATAGCTGAAATAATTGTTTCAAGGCAAAGTCAATTGCCAACTTTCAACTTACTAAATTAGTTTGTCCAGATTGACGAACCAGGATTCAGCGTCTTGGTAGTTGAAGTCATCGCCCATGGTAATGATTACGTTGTTTGTGGTATAAACTTGTGTGACGTTGTCTAAATAAGCAACAAATTCAGCAACCTAGATAATTATGAGATAGATAATTTTGCTTGTTAAACTGTTGAGGAATATTACCCTTCTGTCCACATTATATTCGAAGCTTTTTTTGTCATCTATAACTGGCTCGTCTCCGCATAAAATATCGAAGCAAAATCCAGGAGGCGGCGAGTAGGTGTTGTACATCACGCCTGTGAATATGTCACTTGCTTCTCCTGCAAGGAAAAAATTGTCAGTTCTGAAACTACTATAAAATCCTGTGCTGCAAGTTTTCAATATGAAAGTCGTCTCTGGTGCAAAATCTTCAATTTTGAAACAGTGTGAATCTAGGCCTTCCTTTTTTAAAGTGTTAGCATTCTCATGACCGAACATTTTCAGAATCTTGAGTCTTAACCATTTTAGAAGCTTGCAGCGAAAATTTTGAGGCAAAAGCCTTTAGAATTTAAAGTTTCTCTGAATTATTTTAGAGAAAATCAAGAGCCGGTAATGAATGATTAAAATTTGGACTCGTAACTGGTAGATGTTGTCCTTTAAAAAGGTCCAGCAAATCGGAAACCAGTAATAATCAATATTCAGACTGTTTTGGGTGTGTGATTGGAAGTTGTTCTGATCACTGAAAGTATTTTTCAGAAGCTTCCTGAAGCGATTTACTAGAATTTTTAGTTTCAATTTGGGAAAAAAATCATAGACCCTAATCACTAGATCGAAAAAGTATCAAATTGTTCTGATCACAAGAAGTACCTATTTTTCAGAAGCTTACAAATACGATCTAACAGAATTTTTAATATCAAAAGAATCATATTTCCATTTCTAAGTTCTGGATTGACTTCCAATTAGTTTTATGTAATAAAAAGAGCCTAATGACTAGATCAAAGAAGTATCAAGTTGTTCTGATCACTAGAAAAAAATTTCAGAAGCTTCCAATGACGATCTAACAGAATTTTTGGTATGAACTTGGAAAAAGAGTCATATTTCCATTTCTGAATTCCGGATTGACTTCCAATTTGTTGTATATACTAAAAAGACCCTAATCACTGGATCGAAGAAGTATCAAGTTATTCTATTCACTAGAAGTATTTTTCAGAAGCTTCCAAAGACGATCTAACAGAGTTTTTAGTATGAATTAGGAAAAAGAATTATATTCCGATTTCTGGGTTCCGGATTGACTTCCAATTTGTTTTATATAATAAAAAGACCCTAATCACTATACCGAAGAAGTATCAAGTTGTTCTGATCACTAGAAATATTTTCCAGAAGCTTCCAAAGACGATCTAACAGAATTTTTAGTATGAACTTGGAAAAAGGGTCATATTTCCATTTCTGAGTTCTGAATTGATTTTCAATTTGTTTTATTGTTTTTAGTATGAATTAGGAAAAAGAATTATATTCCGATTTCTGGGTTCCGAATTGACTTCCAATTTGCTTTATGTAATAAAAAGACCCTAATCACTAGACCGAAGAAGTATCAAGTTGTTCTGATCACTAAAAGTATTTTTCAAAAGCTTCCAAAGACGATTTAACAGAATTTTCAGTACCAACTTGGAGAAAAAAATCACATTCCAATTCTGAGTTCCAGATTAACTTCCAATTTGTTTTGTATTATAAAAAGACCCTAATCATTAGACCGAAGAAGTATCAAGTTGTTCTGATCTCTAGAAAACAATTTCAGAAGCTTCCAAAGACGATCTAGCAAAATTTTCAGTATGAACTTGAAAAAATAGTCATATTTCCAATTTTGAGTTCTGGATTGACTTCGCATTTGTTTTATGTAATGAGAAGACCTTAATCAATAGATCGAAGAAGTATCAAGTTGTTCTGATCACTAGAAATTTTTTTCCGAAGTTTCCAAAGACGATCTAACAGAATATTCAGTTTGAACTTGGAAAAAGAGTCATATTTCCATTTCTGAGTTCTGGATTGACTTCCAATTTGTTTAATGTAATAAAAAGACCCTAATCACTAGATCGAAGAATTATCAAGTTGTTCTGATCACTAGAAGTATTTCTGGGAAAAATTATTCAGCAAATCAAGAAACCAGTAACAATCAAAATGTGATCATTACAAGCTTTTTAATTGCTAAATAACTTTTTTAGAGTCAACCAAGAGCCGGTAGGAATAATCAAAATTTGGATTCATAACTAGTAGATTTTCTCTTTGAATAATGTCCAGCAGATCAAGAACCCGTAGTAATTAATATGTAGACTGTTATGGGTCTTGGATTGGTCTTCGAAAAATAATTCAGCAAATCAAGAAGCCAGTACCTACCAATCAAAATCTGAATCATTAAAGGCTCTTCATTTGCTGAACAACTTCTTTCAGACAATCAAGAGCCGGTAATGATCAAAATTTGGACTCACAATTGGTAAATTTTCTCTTTAAAAAATGTCCAGCAGTAACCATCAAAATTTGAAGTATTACAGGCTCTTCATTTGTTAAGCAACTTTTTTAGAGACAATCAAGAGCCGGTAATGATCAAAATTTGGATACATAACTATTAGATTTTGTTTTTGAGAAATGTCCAGCAAATCAAGAACCATAGTAACAATCTTTTAGAGACAATCAAGAGCTAATAATGATCAAAATTTGGCCTCATAACTGGTATTCAGCTTTGTTGATAGTCTTGAAAACAGGAGTTCTAAAAAGTTGGCAGAATTCTCCTCTATAGGGTCAAAGAATTATCTTTTCATAGTGCTATGGCTTCAAGAAGAATTCCAAATAGAATTTTATCATCTCTAGTTAAATTTTGAGCTCTAGTAGACCTAGAATAGGATTTCCATTCTTTTGTAGCTAAAATATTAGCTGAAAGCCGAGAATAGAATTTTGGCGCTTCTCCAGGTAATCAGTTTCAGCTCTGCAATTTGCAAGATTCTTTCAGTTTGTAGGAATCTTGACTCAAAGTGACCTTTGTATTATTACAAGCTCATCTGCAAATTTGAGATCCAAATTTGAAAGCTCAGATGAATTATAAGTTACAAGAATTTACAAAGACTTATTACTAATTAGGACTTTAAATTCTTGGCTCAAGGCTGGAAACTGGATTGATTCTTGGAAATTCTAGCCTCATTCAAAGCTTGAACTCCATTACCGATACTTGCAACAAATATTTGGATTTAAAATATTTCGTTCCGGCCTGTATAAAGTCACTATTCTAAGCTCAAAAAGCGTTTTTCTGAATCTCAAATTGGTGGCTAGCTTTCAGGAATAAAACAGGTCTTAGAACAAAGATTAATTCATATTCATACACTTATTGAGCTTTTGAAAAAACTGTAGTGTGTGTTCAAACACCAAGTGGATCAAGACTCTAGAGACTCTAATACAATCTTAACAGATAAGATTCTGAAAACTTTTGAGTTAAAATTCATGGCTCAAGACTGAGAACTGAGTTTCCTGAGATTTTAGGCTCTGAAAACTCAATATTAAAGACCATGAATTGTTATTCTAGAAATTCAATTCAATGCTGGAAAGACTACAAGATTCAGAAGGCTTCTGACTCGAGACTCAATATAGGTACTAACTTTCTGGAAAGATCAAGCTCCATGAATGAAGATTTTAAAAACTCAGAAAACGCATTATTCTGAGTATATTCTACCTAAACTGTCACTACCACGCCACACCATTTCAGGTGTCCTAGTTTGCCACCTAAACCGTTTCTCCTGATAGTCGATCCTGCCCAATAGCACCCCATCAAAACCCAGCTGGGCAAAAATACTGGCCATTTCTCTGCTATGTCCAAAAGGGTCGATTTGCCAACCGATTTTCGGTCTGCCGCACTCGCCAAAGGTCTCATTCAATTTCCTACAATATTATTTTTAAACAAAATAAACCAATGGTCAATTATTACCTTAAGCCCCAAGTCATTTGATCGATTATAGATTGATAATGAGTCACGGCTTCGTCATTCATACTCCAGCCGCCGCTAATAAACTCCAATTGTCCGTTGTAGACGAGCTTGCGGACTCTGGATTTGACTATGTCGTGCTGCTTGATCCACCATTTCCAGAAAAATGCGGTTTCGACGTAGATGAACCTTCTGTTTTTGTCTTTTCTCAAAGAATCTACAACAGTATCCAGGATGTATTGTACTCCGGCAGTTTGATATTTGGTGTTACTTCCGTAGTAATATTGATCTACGGTTTTCAACCATCCGACATCGTCGTGAGTGTGAGGTACGATATGGACATTGATGAAACCTTTTTTAATAGGATGGCAAGACTATATGGGATTTTAATAAAGGTACTATTTTATATTGATTTGGTACTTGCCTTGTAGCCACAATTTTTCTCTGGCAAGGGTGGCTTTGAGGTAGGAGAAGTACTAATGAAGCCTATAAGGCTAGCAGCAAGTATTAAATTAAATAATAATAATTGCATTGTTGCACCTAAAAATTTACTATTTTTATCAACAAATAAGAACAATTTATTACTTACATTAAAATAACAAAACGTCTGATAAAATAATTTTAACAAAACCGCACACGCGAAGTACCCAGCAGTACTGCCGGCCTTAAATTGCTCAAGTCTTTTCTTTATTAGCCGATGTTGCGCATTCGCAGGATGCCTTTATACATTATCAAAATCGTTGCTTTATTTATTGGTGCTTATCGCTTTAAACTTTAAATTAATTTGTGGTTTCAACATACAATGTAGTTGGTTCTCTGACTACTATTCGTGATTTTTGTTGGTACTACAAGCCTTATCATGGAATTTATGTGGCAAAGGTTTGTTTAGTTAATCAATATTTTCGAAGAATAAATTTCCATTGTTTGATTTTGTAGGAAGCATGTTTCAGGAACTAACTCAGTTTTAAATTATGAGTACCATCAATTTAAAAAAATAAACAATTCTTTATCTCATATGGGTACCTACTGTTTTTTCATCAAAGAGAAAAACTAAATAGGTTCAGGTACCGTACCAAATGGTCATTTGCTTTAAAGGAATCTTTAAAGATCGTTAATTTCAAGTCTTTAATTGTTTTTGTCGCGGAATTCGTATACGAAGAACGCACCAAGAATATTCAATAATAATAGTATATTAATTTATTAACAACAATAATTGTAGAATCTTAAAGAGGTATTTTCTAGGTCTGCATTACGTCTGAACGTCTGAAGACCGTTTTTTTTAAATATCCATATAAGATATCGTAAATTCACATCTTAAAGATAACTATTTGGTACAACCAGGCCTAAAGGTGAATAATGGTTCATGTATTGAAAAGAGATTCAAAGACGTCTGTAGAACATCTCGTTGAAGACGTCTTTAAAATGTCTTAGTCCTAAAGACGACTTTAGGAAGACGTCTGAAAGACTTCAAGATATCTTTGAGACACCTGAAAGAGTCTTCTTGACAATTTTTTAACGTGCTACCATAACGTGCGTTTTTATTCTCATCGAGTTTTCCTGATTAATTCCATCACTGATGTGCGCCGATGAGTAGTACGACATCAAAATTCATCGCCATTTTGTTGATGAAATGATTCAAATAAAAAACACTTCGATGGATTTTGATCAGAGATAAAATTTTGACACTTGAATTGATACCAGAGATAAATAATTGATACTCTTGACATTGAAAATTTGTGTTATTTATTTGGTTTGGCAAACTTGTTTATGTTATTTTTTTATTTCTTCAAAAAACCGTATCCATGTCATGATTGCAGGTCTAGTGTTAGTTAAGTGGAGGTAAGATATTGAGAAAAAATTTCTGAGAGAGTGAACTGAGCTCTAAAAACTCACAAATTAGTTTGATTTGATATTTCAGATATATTCTGGATAGCAGTGTTGCCAGAATTGAAAGATTTCCTTCAATATGAAGGGTTTTGATCTAAAATTTCGACTACTGAAGGATTGAAGGTTTTTATCCGAATTTGAAGGATTTTGAGGCAAATTGTATATTTAGTCAATATTCCAATCAGTTTACCAACAAATTTAATTTTTATTAAAATAAATTAATTATGGCCATTAGTTGCATGAGATAAGAATACGAAACGCCAATTCCCACTACGCCACTGGGTCAGAATTTATGATAAATGCCATTCAAAAAAGAGCGAATTTCGCGCAAGTGAGAAAATTAAGCTTAAGGCTATGAGTACCTATTTTTGTTTGTTTTGTTTTTTTTTTTTTTTTAACAGAATTTCGTTCATGTTATAAAGTCTGTTTTTTTTTTAAAGATAATTCCCCAAGTCGAAAATTTAGTAACTGTAACTATATTGGCAACATAAGCCTTTTCTACATAAAAAATTTGAAAGCGTTGACAATTTTATATCGTATTGCCAACATAATGTCATTTTGACTTTTATCTTTAAAAAAAAACAGACTGTAATATTTTATTTTTTTGGTAGATTATATCGTTGTGCTGCCCCTCCCCACGCCTCTGTTTTGAAGGATATGAAGGGTTTTAGCCACTTAGTTGAAGGAATGTCGTCGAAAAACTTTGGCCACACTGCTGGATACTTGAACTTACAATACAGATTTTTAGGCAAAATTCAATTTTATCGGCCTGTATATCATAATCCTATGGCTTCGCCCTAGAGTCCTATGAGAAATTTACGGCAAGCTTTATCCGAAAAAAACTTCTTCACATAATAAATACAAATTCAAAACAAAAGGATACAATTACGATTCCCGTCGGCCATCAACAACCGTCAACATAATTTTGGGGTTACATTTTACGTTATAATTCATCAGTTCATCCTAAATGAATCTCGATGAACTCGATGGCTAATCGTACTTTTACCGATAAGTGCAAGATGAGAATAAAAACAGACCGGTGAAATTCATCGATGTTTTACTGATGAGAATAAAAACAGCCAATTGACATAATCATACCATAATGACATTTTTACAATTATCAATAATAACTGGTGACAAAAACAAAAGGTTGAACCAGAAAATAAGGCTGGGTTCAACACTCTCCCCCCTTTTGAAGTAATTCTTTTCTTCATATTTTATTCAGTTCCAATTTTACATAGTCGGCTAACATATCTTCTAAAAATGCCTGCATTGGTTTTTATGTCTGCTAGTCTAACTTTGCCATCGGAACCAGGAAACACAGCTTGTATCTTGCCCATTCGCCATTGTTTTCTTGGTATATTGTCTTCAATAATCACATTTATGTCGTTTTGTTTTAACTGTTGCCCATCATCATTCCACTTTGATCGTTTTGTTAATGTCGGTAGATATTCTTTAGTCCACGTTTTCCAAAATGAATCTATCAGTTGCTGACATCTCTTCCAATGAACTCTAAGATCACCGTTACTACATGATCTCTAAGCGAATGAATCGGCGTTCGACTGTGCCATAATAAAATGGTTTGGTGTCAACGCTTCAAAATTGTCTGGATGCGAAGAGACTTTGGTCAAAAGTCTGGAATTAACGATGTTTTCAGTTTCGGCAAATAGTGTTAGAAGAAGTTCATCTTTTAACTTTTGATTTTTCAGTAAAGTATTGAAAGTAATTTTGACTGAACGAACTAATCTTTCCCATGGTCCCCCCATATGTGGCGATGCTGGTGGTATGAACTTCCAAATGATTTCATGACTTCTAAGACACTCCGTCATTTTTGAATCGTTTGTTTCTTTGAGTAGCTTCTTTAATTCCTCTGATGCCCCTCGGGAATTGGTACCATTATCCATATAAATTTCTTTCGGACACCCTGTTCTACTTACCATTCTTTTAATTGCCATCATAGCTGAGTCGGTAGTATAAGTGAATGTGCCACTTCTAAATGTATGGCTCGAATTGTGAGACAAGTGAACAGTTCCCATCTCTTTTCTTCCTACAGTAATATATAGGGGACCAAAATAATCTATGCCGGTGTATGTAAATGATTTATAGTCCGGAGTCAGCCTAAACTTAGGTAGCTGTCCCATCTTCTGTATAATTGGTCTAATTTTCTTGGTTTTACACCACTGGCAGTTTAAAAATACATTCTTGACTCAAGCTCTGAGATGTATTATCCAAAAACGTTGTCTGATTTCTGATTTCATTTACCACAGTCTCTAAACCCTGATCTGCAAACTGTTCATGATACTTTTGAATAAGTAACATGGTATATCTGTGTTTCGATGGTAAGATAATTGGACTTCTTGTCAGTGTCACAGTATCTGGTGCCAAGTTTAATCTTCCATCTACCACAAGAATACCTGTTGCATCAAGTTTCGGTAAGAGCTTCCATATCCTACTTTGTTTTGACACTAGTTTTTCCTTCTTCAAACAGTTTATTTCCTCTGCAAAACTTTTAAATCTTGTAATGTCGACTCTCCTGATTGACTTTTTGTTTGGAGTATACTAATAAATTTAAAAACTCTTCCTGTTGCACCTATTAAACAAAGCCATTTTGAAAAATGGTCTATGTTAGGTAAAAACTGACATGTTACCACAGTTAATCCAAAAATGTTGGTTGTAATTCTCGTGTGACTTGAGACAACAAATTTTCATCAAATATATCTTTTTTAGGCCATAACAATTCGTCATTTTCTTTGAGAAAATCAGGACCTGAGTGCCATGTTTTGAAATCTGTTATAACTGTACTTTGTGTGTCGTAGGTTCTTGTTGCAAGGTCAGCTGGATTTAATTTAGAAGGCACCCATCTCCAAATTCTGCTATCAGATATTTCTTGAATCTCCCCAACCCTGTGAGCTTCAAATTGTCCAAGTTTTATGTCATCTCTTTTAATCCAATGCAAAACAGTAGTCGAATCAGTCCACATGTAAATTTGGTGGATATTGATGTTCAAGGCATTTTTCACAGTCACAAGCAATCTGCTTCCCAGTACCGAGGCTTGCAATTCCAGTCTTGGAATGGAAATCGCCTTGATTGGAAAAACTCTTGCTCTGGCCATGATAAGTGAGGTGTCAATTATTTCTCTGGTAATTACTCGTAGGTAAACAGCACATGCAAATGCGTTTTTACTTCCATCACAGAATACGTGTAGCTCTATCCTTTTAGATTCAGGAATATGGAATGAATAACATCGGGAAATTCTTAGATCTGCAACTAATTCAAGATCATTCAACCAAAATTTCCATACCTTAAAAAGTTTTTCATCTATGCTGTCATCCCAACCGATGCCACTGCGCCAAATGTCTTGTATAAGTATTCTACCCCGAATTGACAAATTGACTACCAAACCTAAAGGGTCAAAAACTGACATTATAATTTTTAGAACTTGCCTCTTAGTCGGTCGGCAAGTTTTATGTTGGAAACATGTTCCAACAATCATGCTATCTCTTTTTGATGGCAAAATATTTTTATACATATAAAGTTTGCAACACTGCAGCGTTGTCGTCATGTCTATTTTGTCATGTCTGTCAATATATTGCGCGCCATTTTTGTCATTGCAGCAGTGTAGCTTGGAGCTTGTCCACGTTAACAAGCATCCAGAAACCTTTTCACATTTTAATAAATTTTATAATCTAGCTCTGCCCTGTTGGGCATCTAAGCAAGCTCTGGCTTCTTGTCATCTTGTAGTAGTAATTGTAAATAGTGTAAATATTGTGTAAATTGTTGTAAATATAGTGTCAGTG